GGACAACTGAGACAGCACCTGCCATTTAGCCCCCAGATTCAAAAACCTCAAGGTTGACCCCAGGATAGCAAAGCCGAGTGGTTGCGGAACATAGCCCGTTCTGTCCGTAGGCCATGACTGTACAGAGGATAGTGTGGCAAAACAATGGCAACCTAAGAATCTTATGCTCAAACTCATCTCTGGATCATTTGGAACCTACTGTGCATGGTTGCGAAATCCAATTCGCACCACTTTGCAACCATCGTTGAAACCATTGTCCGTTGGTATTTACGTTGGGGAATCATATCATTCCGTTGGGATTCTGAGTTTTGTGGTGCGAAAGGGATTTCGCGTCCCCATCCACAGCATGGAGCAAACTCGGTTGCTTTCTGCTCCCCCTGCTGAAAGTTTAACTTCTAGTGGTTGAATGGAAAACACATCAACTGGCAACAAAATAAAGTCCTAACATCCCTTGGCAAAATGCGCCAAAGCTTTCTTGTGTTGATTTTGAAGGAGCCAACCGGCCCACTTTCTCCAACAAGAAGCCGAAAAAATATGCACCCACGAGGCTGGGGCAAAATGCGCCGAAACAAACCAGTTGCCACAAACGGCGGTCGATCGAACCCCGGCCCCAGCCCCGGCCCCGCGGCCATCGATCCGTCGAGTCCTGGAGGCACCCAGCGCGCGGCAGCTGATCTAGAAGCTGGGCCTCGGGGATGGGTCAAGCGCCTGGAGCCATGGCTCAATCCTCCATTTGCGTTTTCGTCCCTGGAAAAAAAAGAAGAAGTAGTGATAGATTCCCTTCAAAACCAACAGGGGAATATATATATATATGTATTTATAATAATATATATATATATATATGTGTGTGTTCTTTGCCACCGGCCCCCCTTTAAAGGTCGACCTAGTTGTTGAAACCAATTTCGCCCCAGCCAGCGGGACACACAAAGGCAATTTGACCCTTTGTAGCTGAAGAGGGTGTTCTCAGTCTGCAAGGGGGGATCCCCAATCGTATTCGGGCCCCTCTACAACAAGGGACACCACTCCAATCCGGCTACAAGAAGCATTTGTTTCGAACAACCAAGTGCAACAAATAGATCTCCTCGCAATGGCTGAACCAAACGAAGTGTGGATATTGTGTTTCGTTAGAGTTGACAAGTTTAGAACACTATCTTCTTGAAAGACTTGGAGGGTCAAAGTTCCATCCCCCAGCCAGCGGCGGCCTTCCAAAAACCCTTAGGTCCAATGAGTGCCCCAACGCCAAAGACAGGCAATCTCGGTTGCTTTCTGCTCCCCTATTAGTTGGCAAAAAGCCAAAGTCCTAACATCCAAGCAACATGCACCAAAGTGTTGACCCCGGGTACATCCACCCGGCGCCTAGCGGAATGCCTTCCCAAAAGTGAGAAATGCCCGAGTGGGCCTTCCCCAAGCCTTAGCAATCCTGGGTTCCATTGCTCAGCAGCCTGTGTCCACTTGACATATCTCCATGGCCGTGACGTACAAGTGAGGGACAAACCAACCCCCCTGCAGGGCAATGCGGAGCAACCTGCAAATCGGCTTCCTGGAAATATGGTCATTATCGTTGCAAACGCAAGACACTGCTAAAGATAAGAGTCGGGAACTATGACCGAAATCCAGCTTCCAGTATTCAACGTCATGGTTTACAGGCTTCCTGATCATGAACACGCTCTCTTAAGGCTATTTACTTCTATTTGTGATTTTATGGTCCTTGAACCGGACAAACTGCATGTTTTTTTGGAATTGCTTCGATTGGTGATTTGGACAAGCTGCATGTTTCTTTGGGAAAGGAACTTTGTCAAAACGGATGCACTCACCCTAGCAGGGACAAACTATGGGAACAAACTGCAACATCTGCTCCCGGAATGGCGATTCTAGTGGCTGGCACTACTCCAGCGCATGCCCTAGGTTCAATTTGAGGCGTAGATTTGGCACATACCACCGGTTCTGCCACAAGGGGCACCGTTCTCAAAGGGGAAATTGCCTAGGTCCTCCAGTAGAGAGGTTTGAATAAGGATACCCTTTTTTCTGTAGTCTATGTTAGTGGGGGAACCCTCCCAACCACAAAAGATGGCAAAAGGGCACTACTGGGACCTAGTTGCGGCGGCCATGGAAGGGGCGATGAATTCAAACATCCCCGAGCCAAACCCTTTTACCGAGAGACGGTGTCCCGGGTGAACTTCAGCACCTGAGAATCGGACCCAGTGGGACAAACCCGGACCCGGACCCGGCGATTAGAAAGTCTTCCCCGGCGGTTCGTTCGGCGAGAGTCTCGGTATATGTGTTGTTGTGAGGGTACCGTTTTTATGCTTGGGTCAGACGGAAATCAAAGGAACCTTTTTGAGGACTCTACGTCTTTTCCCGGATTTTTGAGGCCTTCCTTAGCTGGAGGGTACCCTCCGGGTATCTCCACACTACCGAATGCAGAATCACGCATGAGTTTTGGGCCCCAGGAGGCACGCGCAACATGTTGGGTTGACGGGGGTTAGCCGGGACTGAGGCGCCGGCGCAAGGGACATGAAGTCTTGGTTGCTGTTCACCCCCCTGCACAAAGTTTAACTTTTTGGCGGTTTAGTGGAAAACACTTGATTTCCCAAAAAGTTGAAGTCTACAGATCCAACCCAATAGCAGCCAAGAAGTCAGGAGTGTGCCAAGTGCATCGCGATTAACTGTGTTTCATGGTGTTTGGGCAACCCCCTTCCACGTTCCAGGGCAACAAATCGCTCAAATAACTTGTTCTCTGCCCTCTGCCTTGGCAAGAAGAAAGGTTAGCCCATCAGGCTGGCAAACCGTCACGATTTCTGCCAGATACCCTCCAACAAATATGAAAGTGAAAGGGTCCCTTCTTAGCCTGCAATGACTCAGCTTCTTCTGATGGCCGATGGAATGCTCTCTTTGGACAGGGCCCTTGCCAAACTTTGGCAACTTTGGCAAGTGATTTTGGCAACTCCTTTGGCAACTATGGCTTTGTTGCAGCATCTGTGAGACTCACTGTAGCAAAGCAGCCAGCCACAGGAAATACAGGAAATACGTACGTATTCCAAAATGCGAATGTGAGTGAGGTAACCAAAAAGATCGCAGGTGGGAAGCCAAAGGTCTTGGGATAACTGGATGAAGGTAGACCAGTGTCCAGCGTGTCCAGCTGCCCGTGCCCTGGAAAGGAGGAGAATGACCGGAACAAGTTCTCATCTCAGACTAAGCTGGGTTTTAAATCGGGGGTCAGGAAAGCTTGGCTATTGCCCATCACAGTTAGGTTTTCCTTCGGCCCCTTCAAGAAAACCATCCAGCCCCCTGCTTGCAAAGGCGCCGGGCAGGACTTGTGCACGTAGGCCTTGCAACATGCAACAGGCGTGTGGCGTCGGCTTGGAGCAAGAAAATTCCAGCCGTCATTTTGGGTGAAAACAAGACCTCCCCAAATTTCAATGCTGAAGACCTGTGAGCCTGAGCCTTTTGCAGGTTTCTTTTTTCCCCGAACCGTGATGGGGTCAATCCACCAACCCTGGGGCGGGGCAGGCTGGAGGGTTGTTGGCATTTGACCGAAGTTGGTTTTCTCTTGCGGCGAAAATCGTAAGTTACATTTGCAACTTTCCCTCTGGAGAGCCTCTTTTGAACCAAGCGGCGTGAAAAACAAATGTAGTCTTGGCAGAAAGCGTGTAAGATTGTTTGAGTGGTTTTCAAGAGAATCCCAAGAAAGCCACGCAGCCGCTAGGTCCTCCAGTAGAGAGGATAGAATAAGGGTACCCTTTTTTCTGTAGCCTTTTTTTAGTAGGAGAACCCTCTCCCAAAAAAGTTGGTAAAGGATGTAAAAGGGCACTACTGGGGGACCTAGGCCGAAAAGGGGCGTCAGCAAAAAGTAATTATTGGTCCTGCTAGCCTTGTCAGTCATGAGGCCTTTGACCTCCCAGTCCCACGCGCATCATCCCCCGTGGATGCGACAACGGGCCAAGGGGCGAGCCAGGCACTGTCCGCGGAGCCGCGCCACTTGCGCACCCCCGCCTCTGATCCGCGTGGACGATGAGGTGATGACAATGCAACTAATTGCATCCACTACTACCCAGGCCACTGACGGGACCCAAAGGTTCAATACACACGTCCTACATACATACACATGTCTCGGTTTCCATCAAGCCTGAAGCTTCCAGAACGTCCTTGGAAATGCTTCTTTTTCGTTGCTCTCCCCAAAGCCCAAACAAGGGTAGAAAACACTGCAAATACCAGTGAATTCATCAAAAAGGTAGGTCCCTGGGGGGGGGGGGGTACCATATATATATATATATATTATATATATATATATATATGTGTGTGTGCAATTTCTAATATATATATATATATACATCTGAAAATATATATTATACATGTATATGTGCATACAGATGTATAGGGTGATTCTGGCAGCGGGAACCATCTTGGGGAGGCTGAGGGAGGGCAGGCTCCGAATGCTCCGGGGCGCTGCTGGGTCCCAGTGCACATCTGGCTCCTCCATATGCCAGAAGGCGGTGTCATCCGCGCGGATCAGGACCATCTCCTCTTGCCAAATGCGCCGGAACTCCGGGTATTGGTCCTTGGCACGCCAAATAACAAGGATAAGGACCCAAAAAGGAAAATTCCGGCCTCCCAAGTACCTGCTTAAGTAGCCTTTAAGACGGATCTCCAACCCTTTCCCTGCTGGTCCCTTTCCCTTGCTACTTGTCCAGCTCCAAGAAGCGTCCGAGGCATGAACAAAATGTCATTGTCAGTAAGATCCACTTGCAGAAGCTGCCAAGCGTTGAAATAAACTTTCGGATAGACGGCTATGCCAGCAGAATCCTGTGTGTCCATGGTGCTGTCGTGACAACTGTCCAACATTCAGGCCAGCCTGCCATCAGCAGAGTGCCCGTCGCTTGCAACCGGAATCAAATCGAGACACTGCCAATCAGCTCAAAACAACTTCACAGCCATAGGCTTGCCTTCAGACGCGTCTGCGGTGCCTTCTGCCAACTCAAAGGGGGAACCCGCACAAATCGAGAAATTCTCCGAAACTGGGACCAATTCTAGCAAGGGCCCTTCATCATGGGAATCATTTTACCCCAAATGCAAAATGAGCTCGCTATGATTTGCTCAATGTAACCATGTGCAGAGTGCTCAGTTGCAATGGTGAGCACCTTTTAGGGTCACGACTTAAATTAGTTGCCAAAAAGGCAAACCACAAAATGAGGTCAGATCGATTCGCTTTGGAAGAGAGAGTGTCAATCATCTTCTTGAATGCCGCATGCATCAGCAAGTAGTTCCGCAAGTCCTGGCCGAAGCGGTTCCTCAGATGTCAGCAAGTTTGGGTGATCCCTGAATAGGTTGCAGATGGGATCTGGGATCCTACATGGATTATCCTTTGGTGCAAGCCAGAGCCCGTTCAATGGAACCCGCTCATGGCTCCCCTGAAACAACGTCAGCTAGATCTATGAGACTCCTCCTCCTCCTCCTTCAGTTGCTTGATACGGTGGTTGCGTGCAAGCTGCTATCAAGGGCTTAACAAGTTAACAACATATTTTCTTGCTGGTGCGATAAGTAGTAGGGAATGAGGGAAAGGACACCACCAGTTGGATGGTTTGTATAGGGGTCATTCCATTTCTCATCCCCTGCATCTCTCGCACCGATCGCAACAATTTGATAGAACTGGATGCCTCAGGCGAATCTTTGGGGCCATCCGGCACCGCAAAATGTTCACGCAATGAAGACTCAAGGATTGCTCCAAAGACCTTGGCGAGAAAATTGAATGATCAAAGCCAGCCCCGAAGTGGTGGGTGAAAGGGGAGCAAAACCATTTTCTGACTTTGATAAGATTCCCAAACCAGGGATTGTCTCAAAGGGAGCCCACAAAATGGTTTCCGGATTCATTCTTTTGGGTTTTCCTCTAAAAACAACCTAACAAAGGGGCAGCCTCCAACAACCATCTCACCCATGCTACAAAGGGGACACCCTAAGACCCGAGCAAAAACCACGCGTGCTGGGTGATCCAGGGCTTGACAAGTCACGCAGGGTCGTTCCACCAACACCCTCTCACTTACCAGGACCTTGATTTTTTTTAGGGCGATCACCTTTTGGGACCTGTACACAAAAAATAACTTGGTTGCTTTCTGCTCCCCTGCTAAAAGTTTAACGTTTAGTGGTTTAATGGAAAACCCATTAGTTGGCAAAAAGTTAAAGTCCTAACAGCCAAGCAACATGCACCAAAGATCAAACCAGGGACCAAACTAGGGAAACCAAATTGATCACCCTTTTTGGGAAACCAAAGGTGATCACCCTTGACCTTTTGACCAAACTAGGGAAACCAAAAGGTCAAAGGGTCGATTTGCTGGTGGGCGAGTGAGCCCGAGTTTGACCGAATTTGTACGAGTTCCCGTCTTCTTAGCCAGCCCGAACCTGCTGTTTGACCTCCATATGTTCTTTTTGGCTTCTAGGCCAAACCGGCAGGCTGGGGGTTGAAAAAGAGAGGCACACGGCAAGTCAAACCAGGGAGGCTGGGTACTTTCCAAAGCTGTCCGAACATATTTGACCAATCCACCCCCTTTGGGTTTCCTTTGAACAAGTTGACCTCTCCGGAAGAAAAGCCGAAGCCACCCCCCTGGTTGGTTTGATTCCAGCTTGGGGAGCCCCAAAACGAAAAATGGCTTCCACCCCCGCAACCCACAGAAGTTGAGCGTCTGAAGCTCGATCCAGGCCAGCTTCAGGTATGGGCTTGGAAGGTACGGAGGCTATTCTGCACCACTTATAGGGTACATACTGCCTTTCAAGCTTAGGTTGGTAATATCTTAGCATCCATCCATCCAACACCCATACCTGACCAGCAACCCAAACCCATTGACTTCTGGTTCTACTGAGTGTATCATCAAAGGAAGTTTAACAAGAAACTTCCGCAGTACTGGAACTAAATGAGCTAGCTGCTTTGACATATAGCTATGACAGGTAGCTAGCATGACAAATAGATAGCTTTGACATATAGCTAGCTTGACAGATAATAGCTTTCCAATAGGCTTGCATGACAGATAGATAGCTTTGACATATAGCCAGCTTAACACGTAGATAGCTTTCTCAAGTATAGATTTCGTGGCAGGCGCAGCACTTTCGCAAGCACTCTCTGCGAGCTGGGGGATGGCAAGATGCAGAAAACGTTGGCGCTGTGCGTGAATTGGGCTTCCGGACTGTGCGCAAACCACCTCGGCTGCGACGCCTGTACGGAGGCGGTCTCGGAACGGTCTCGGAACGGTCTCGGAACGGGTTCGGAACGGGTTCGGAGACGGGCCCATTGGCACGGCCGCGCGAAGGTTTCGCAAGGTTTGAATTGCGTGGCAGGCGCAGCACTTTCGCAAGGTCAAGTATAGATTTCGTGGCAGGCGCAGCACTTTCGCAAGGTCAAGTATCGATTTCGTGGCAGGCGCAGCACTTTCGCAAGCACTCTCTGCGAGCTGGGGGATGGCAAGATGCAGAAAACGTTGGCGCTGTGCGTGAATTGGGCTTCCGGACTGTGCGCAAACCACCTCGGCTGCGACGCCTGTACGGAGGCGGTCTCGGAACGGTCTCGGAACGGTTCGGAACGGGTTCGGAACGGGTTCGGAGACGGGCCCATTGGCACGGCCGCGCGAAGGTTTCGCAAGGTTTGAATTGCGTGGCAGGCGCAGCACTTTCGCAAGGTCAAGTATAGATTTCGTGGCAGGCGCAGCACTTTCGCAAGGTCAAGTATAGATTTCGTGGCAGGCGCAGCACTTTCGCAAGCACTCTCTGCGAGCTGGGGGATGGCAAGATGCAGAAAACGTTGGCGCTGTGCGTGAATTGGGCTTCCGGACTGTGCGCAAACCACCTCGGCTGCGACGCCTGTACGGAGGCGGTCTCGGAACGGTCTCGGAACGGTTCGGAACGGGTTCGGAACGGGTTCGGAGACGGGCCCATTGGCACGGCCGCGCGAAGGTTTCGCAAGGTTTGAATTGCGTGGCAGGCGCAGCACTTTCGCAAGGTCAAGTATAGATTTCGTGGCAGGCGCAGCACTTTCGCAAGGTCAAGTATCGATTTCGTGGCAGGCGCAGCACTTTCGCAAGCACTCTCTGCGAGCTGGGGGATGGCAAGATGCAGAAAACGTTGGCGCTGTGCGTGAATTGGGCTTCCGGACTGTGCGCAAACCACCTCGGCTGCGACGCCTGTACGGAGGAACGGTCTCGGAACGGTCTCGGAACGGTCTCGGAACGGGTTCGGAACGGGTTCGGAGACGGGCCCATTGGCACGGCCGCGCGAAGGTTTCGCAAGGTTTGAATTGCGTGGCAGGCGCAGCACTTTCGCAAGGTCAAGTATAGATTTCGTGGCAGGCGCAGCACTTTCGCAAGGTCAAGTATCGATTTCGTGGCAGGCGCAGCACTTTCGCAAGGTCAAGTATCGATTTCGTGGCAGGCGCAGCACTTTCGCAAGGTCAAGTGCCAAATTCGTGGCAGGCGCAGCACTTTCGCAAGGTCAAGTACAAAATTCGTGGCAGGCGCATCACTTTCGCAAGGTCAAGTACAGAATTTGTGGCAGGTGCAGCACTTTCGCAAGGTCAAGTGCAAAATTCGTGGCACGCGCAGCACTTTCGCAAGGTCAAGTACAGATTTTGTGGCAGGCGCAGCACTTTAGCAAGGTCAAGCACACATTTGGTGGCAGGCGCAGCATTTTTGCAAGGTCAACTTTCGCAGCCGGGGCTCGAAAATCGCAACTTTTAAGTACGAAAGTAGTACGCGAAGTCAACTTTCGCAGCTGGGGCTTGAAAATCGCAACTTTTAAGTACGAAAGTAGTGCGCAAAGTCCACTTTCGCAGCCGGGGCTTGAAAATCGTAACTTTTAAGTACGAAAGTAGTACGCGAAGTCAACTTTCGGGGATTGAACATCGCAACTTTTAAGTGCAGAGAAAGATGGACTGATAGATAGATCAATAAACAGATATAGAGATAGCTAGAGAAATAGATTGCGTGGCAGGCGCAGCACTTTCGCAAGGTCAAGTATAGATTTCGTGGCAGGCGCAGCACTTTCGCAAGGTCAAGTATCGATTTCGTGGCAGGCGCAGCACTTTCGCAAGGTCAAGTGCCAAATTCGTGGCAGGCGCAGCACTTTCGCAAGGTCAAGTACAAAATTCGTGGCAGGCGCATCACTTTCGCAAGGTCAAGTACAGAATTTGTGGCAGGTGCAGCACTTTCGCAAGGTCAAGTGCAAAATTCGTGGCACGCGCAGCACTTTCGCAAGGTCAAGTACAGATTTTGTGGCAGGCGCAGCACTTTAGCAAGGTCAAGCACAGATTTGGTGGCAGGCGCAGCATTTTTGCAAGGTCAACTTTCGCAGCCGGGGCTCGAAAATCGCAACTTTTAAGTACGAAAGTAGTACGCGAAGTCAACTTTCGCAGCTGGGGCTTGAAAATCGCAACTTTTAAGTACGAAAGTAGTGCGCAAAGTCCACTTTCGCAGCCGGGGCTTGAAAATCGCAACTTTTAAGTACGAAAGTAGTGCGCAAAGTCCACTTTCGCAGCCGGGGCTTGAAAATCGCAACTTTTAAGTACGAAAGTAGTACGCAAAGTCCACTTTCGCAGCTGGGGCTCGAAAATCGCGACTTTTTAGTACGAAAGTAGTACGCGAAGTCCACTTTCGTAGCTGGGGCTCGAAAATCGCAACTTTTAACTACGAAAGTAGTACGTGAAGTCCAGTTTCGCAGCTGGGGCTCGAAAATCGCAACTTTTAAGTACGAAAGTAGTACGCGAAGTCAACTTTCGGGGATTGAACATCGCAACTTTTAAGTGCAGAGAAAGATGGGTAGATAGATAGATCAATAAACAGATATAGAGATAGCTAGAGAGATAGATAGAAAGAGAGAGAAAGAGACAGAGAAACAGAAAGAGAAAGAGAAAGAGAAAGAGAGAAAGAGAGAAAGAGAGAAAAAGACAGAGAGAGAGAGAAGCAAGGGGCCAAGGACAGTTCTCCAAACTATAGTTGTTCACTGCTTTGAAACTTCCGCCCCCCGGCTCTGCCGGACCTTACTTGTAATACCCGCAAAAAAGACAAACCCAAATTTGCTTGCGGGGATTTTGGGGCGCTGTTCAACTGAAAATGCCGACTGAAGTTGGCCCAGGCTTCAAGTGGCTCAGGTCTACATCTCGAAAGAGCGGGTGCTCAGGCACGCCAGGCGGGTCCAGGAACATGGACAGAGCGTCAGCCCTGCGCCCGCTTGGCTTCCCCTTTAACTTTGCTTTGCCCGAAAACGAGCCCTGAAAGGGGTTGGTCCACGCAGTGGTTTGTGGATGCTTTGCAAAAGGCCAAACTTTCGGACAGTATTTCACTGCCAAGGATTGTAGTATAGTGTAGGCAAACAACCCATAGAAAAAGGGGACTTGCAGAGGTAAATTGGCTATATGTGTTACAAGTTGCTGGCCCAAGTAGGGTGCAGCCACGTAGACATTACGGGCTGCCAAGTCCGACCAAAATGAGACGGCGTGTTCATGCAATGTGTCTCGAGCGAGCATCACGCAAATATAGATGTGACTATGCACGCGTGGGTGGCATGCATCATGAATCATGAGCGCGCACACTGCTTGCAATCAGGCCATATCAGGCCGGGGCCAGTGACTCAAGCGACGCTGTGGCCGCAAAATCACATCCCTCATTCTGGCAAACATCGACCGCAAATGTGTGTTCCTCGGGACAAACCTTGACACCGCATTGAACAGTCCTTTTGTCGAGCCTTCAGCCGAGCCTTCAATGGATGCCTGGATGTGGATGTGTTTCTCTCGTTTCCTCTCCTAGTGCCCTTCCAGAACTTGATTCGGAAAAAACTCCACTGGCCTCTTTGCGGATGTCGATGAAGTTCTTCAACCGCGAGGAACGCACAGTTAAATAGAGGATCCGGACAAAAAACGAACCGTTGCCCATATTCGCCTTGGTTTCTTTTGGAAGGACAAATGCGTACCATACTTTCATGGGATCTCATGGGTGGGCTTACTCTTAATAGGTGAGCTGAGTATAACCTTCCCAGACCCAATCGCTTCCGCGCCTGGACTTGCTGTTCCAATACCCGTTGAAGAGCGCGTGCCATGCGATCATCAGCGGGTGCTCGGCTCTGGCGGCCATCACCCAATTCTCCACAAACTCCTACGCTTCACAGCGACCATCACCCAACACGGTGTGTGCTTCCGTGCTTCTTGCCACGAGGCAGTGCACAAACTGAGAAACAACAAAGGCCTTGTTCAATCAACAAACAAGTTCAACATAATTGATTGTAACTCGAGGAACCCACCCTACACATCAGATTTAGAGCGAGCCACTGGCTGGGGCCGGTTAGGGGTTTGGAGCTTAGTAGATGTCACTTCCAATGATTTGCCAAAAAGGGTGCAAACTTCTTAAACGCCACTAAAACGGTCCTCCGAACGTACAAAGGCCAGAACCAACAAAAAAGAACAAACAAACAAAAGCGTCTGCTTCAAAAGAGAGCTCAAACGGTTTGTGGTTCCCTCAAAATCAAGGAGCTCCAAGCTCCCTCAACCGAATGGGAAATCCCCGGACTGGTTGAAGCACTTGCCCCGCCCGGGCCATGCATGCTTTGCGCATACCGACACAGCGGAGATGCTTCACTTCCATGCGTTAGGATCGTATTGTGTTGGCGGTGCTCCCTATGAAACCGAGGGTGCCTCTTGGCAGGCCAAGTCGACCAGTGTCACTTCCCAGAACAAAGCCGCACACCTCGCTTCGGGATGGAATCGGTCCTTGCTTTTGTGCATCTCGCATCCCCAGGCGGAGAAATAGAAAGCCTGAGCAGCCATGTCGAGACTTCACGACGTTTCGGGCTTTGGGCTTTGGGAAGAGCCCAAAACTGATCAAAGGACCAAGCCCCTCCTTTGGTCCCTCAGGTGCTCTTCGACTCGTTGGGGCACAAAGTCCAAATCTGAAACACATGTTCAATAACCAATGGCAACACATAAATGAGCGGTCAAAGTGTGCTGATAATATGCTGTTCACGTCAAGGACAGTGAGTCCCCTGGCTTTTGTGCATTGTTTGTTTTGGCTCTCTCACATGGCAGGGCTTTGGGACAAACGTTGACTGGACAAATGCCGCTACGCAACTTCTGACGAAACGGGTTTGACGCAAACATGTTGAAGGCAACCCATCGGTGAAATGGCAGAAGGTAACGCAACACATCACCCGCAGGGGCCCAACAAAAAGCCAAACTTGGACACATGTCTTTACCGTCAAACCACACGGCCCCTTTCGAGGATAACATCCCTTCAAACGAAAATGGACCTCCCCTTTCGGTAGCTGTATTTTTTCTCACTCAGGCAGGCAGCAACAAGGGCCCTTGGCACCAACAATCTCTGCAAAATATCGGAGGAGTCATGCGCCCGATCTGATGTGGAGGGTATCCCTTGACAAAGCGAAAATGTAATCAGCACGTGGGTTTGTGTTACAGTAGGGTGACCCGGAAATGATGGCTTTCCTCTTGGTTTCCCTTTCAAACCAACCTGAAAGGGGTATTGTGAAAGAGGTGTAGGTGCTCACCCACGTGTCAATCTTCAGCAAGCTGACGTTCAAAGCTGAGGCGTCGCTTTGGAATCCTGCATTCACAGCCGATAGCCAGATCAAAGCGAACCTGCCACCTGAGCCCAGGAAGGCCTCAATAGGGTTTTGGGATCCCTGCGATCTTGTCCTTTGGATGTCCCTCCGATGGCCGAGCCGCTGCGAGGTCTTCCGGCCGATCCTCCGCCAGGATGGGGCCGTAAAACCAGCCCTCGAAGGGCTGGAAGCAAATGGTTGAGGCATCGATCCATAAGCCTCGGCCAGCGAGGAAATTTTAGGCCTGGGGCTTCTTTGATGTGGTGGCACCCCTGGTTTCATGTGGTTTTAAGGGAACACCAGAAGGAAAAACATGATTTTGGGAGTCCCCCACAAGAAAGACACACCCGTGTCAAGAAAAGCTGCTGGATGCACAAATTTCTGGACACATAGGAACAAAGCAGACCCCCAATCCATAGTATCGAATCAATTGCCAAAGGAAAATCGGCAAACAGAACAATCCATCATCTTTGGAGTCGGCTGCACTACCCACTTTTTTTGCAAAATTGTCAAGCCAGAGTGCTCAGCAACCATTCATTTCCTGAGGGGTTGGACCAAACTAAAAAACAGTCATTAGCGCCCACTTCCAAAAGTGCAGGAAGGGCAGCGAGAGCAGCAGCCTTAATAGGAGCCCACGCAAGATCTTGAAACTCTTGAAAACCAACCCCCACAAAAGGCTTACTTTGATCATTGGTACCTTGTAAGCATCCTAAGCTTGGCAATGTTCGACCCGAACCTCGAACGTAAATCGTTTCTACAATAGTTTTAGCAAGGCAAAGATTGCTACTACAGTGGCTGGAAAAAGTCCACCAGTTGTGATGGATGAACCCAACAAGTGCTGGGCTAAACTGCAAGAACGGGCCTCTGTTGAGAACCACTGTGTTGAAAACCCTCTGTTGGGAACCCCCCCCCCTCCCTTAGCGGTCAAGAAAACGAGGCATTTCCTGCATCTGAAAATCACCCAATTTCCAGCGTCAGAAAATCACATGTTTCGTGATACTAAAATCAACCCCAAAGACTATTATGTTACTTCGAAGGGCTTCCCTTGTCACGGAAATTCGCCAAATCAAAACCCCCCCCATTCTCCACAATGCATAAAAACAAATCTGCATCGTTTCCAAGCCCTGAAGTATTGGATCCCCAAGTGAAGGACCTGAAGCCATGGCCAACTCGCTACCCGTCAGCCCGAACTTCATTCCGCCAGATCGAGCACCTCCCGTGGCCCGGGGCCCCCCACCCCCGTACTTGGCCAACAGCGCCAGGCGCACGGCGTCAGCTTGCCATGGAACGTACATCTCCTGCTTGTTCTCATGGGCCCAAAAGCACCCCTTTCACGGGTGGACATCAGAAATCTCCACCCAAAAAAGGGTCCCAAAAAGGAGCTTCCTGTAGAAATGCTGGGTTTTGGGGTTCCATGTCAATCTGTAGGAGGAAGTAGGGTGGGGTTCACGTCCAACCAGTTTTGGGGTGACTCCCACTCCCACCCTTGAAATCGTTGGGTCCAGCTCAACCGACGATCGTGGTTTTTGTGTTGTTGTTTTTCTCAGAAGCATAGTGGGAACTTGTCGGAAAAAAAAAAAAAACACTTGCCGATAGTCCGAATTTAAACAACCTGAGTCAAACTTAAACCTGTGTCGGATTTTTACGCTTTGGCAATAGGAGTCTACCCAAAGGCATGTCAACAATCTGGATCGGGCGCCTTTCCAAACCCTTGTGACTGTTCCCGTGCTGAAGCCGGCGTCATTTGATTGGAAGCGGAACCCGGTGGTTTCCCGGCGCGTGTCTTCTGGGGACACCTCCTGGAAATTGACCACGTGCACGCCGTCCGCTTGGAGCTTGGATTCGGAGCCCGAAGCCGGGGTCTCATTGGTTGTCCTTTTTGGCCTCGAATTAAAGCGACCTGTAACAGGGTAGCCTCAAAAGAAAGACACACCCAGCTCGTAGGGAACCACCATGGAAACCAGGGTCCAATGGATCCACTACCCTTTTTTTCGATCATAGACGTGCACAAGGGGGCGTTTCAAACGAAGGGTCTCGCAAAAGCCTCCCACCAAACCTACAGACAAATGACAATCCAGAGATCTTCCGATTGCCCTCTTCCATGACTTGCCGGTGCTCAGTAGGGGGAATGACCCCTATAAATCATCCCTGGTGGCTGCCTGTAAGGGAGTCCCTGGGTTCATTCCCTACTTCTCGCACCAGCTACTTGATTGGGAACTAGTTCCCAAAAGTCTCCAAGCAAACCGCCACAGATATGATATACCACGGATCCTCTGATTCTCCACTCCCATGATTGGGAACTGGTGGGTCTACCTCCCACCAACTAGCATGGAAGTGCAAAAAGGCCCTTTCCAAGAGGAAAGTCATCTTTCTGCAGAGCGTTTTCGCACTAACCCATGTTAGCTGGTGAGAGGGTATGTCTACCCAGATAGCCAAGTTGCTGCTTTTTTTCAGTCACTGTTGCGTTTTTTTTTTGGGGGAATAAGGTACATAGACAAAAGCGATCGCACCTGGCATTCCGGGTCTCTCCTTTTCCCGAGGCCCCCGAGCTCCTTCCAGAGCCTCGGCAGATCAGAGGCCGCCAGGTACTCGAAGACGTTCTCCTGGTCCAGGATCGCGATCCTTGGGCAAACATCGCGGCTTTTAGTGCTGCCTTCTGTTGCTTTGGTGTGCGTCTGTGTCTGTGTCTGTGTCTGTGTCTGTGTCTGTGCGCCTTGGACCATGAATGATCAACCAACAAATTGAGGATGGAAATCTTTGTTAGCATGTTTAGGAACATGTTGGTCCATGCGTGTGCCACATTCGGCCCCAGACGCAGGTGGGGCCGCCTTTCCATGCAAGCAATAGCACCCACTCCCACAAAGGACACGCTTCCGCACCACCGCTGCTTGAAACTTCGAGACTCCCTAGCAACCCAACCATCTCGTCCACCCCTCCACCACTTGAATAATCCGCTCCGGGGCGCACAACTTGGTGACCCTTTCGAAACATGGCGCTTTTCCTTTTATAGTCCGCTTCCCTCAAGTACCACCGGTACTGCTCACGCCGTGCCGTGGACACCACAACAAGTCCGGCTATAGCCCTCTTCCCAACCAAAGCGGGACCTTTGCCCAACCCCCAGATCTGAAACTCACTGGCTGAGTGGATGGCCTCAAAAAGCCCAAACTTTACATTTACCATCAAAATGGTCCAAACCTCAAAAAGCTTAAAGTTCATGAGCTCAGGAAGTCAGGACCTCAGAAGAAAAAAAACCCGCCCCACCCGAAACCGTCCCGAAACCGGCCAAAAGCCCCGAGGCCGGGATCCCGGCCGCCAGGTGGGGTTCTGCGCGGCCCAGGTCTCCACGCAAAGCCGCCGGAAGTCTGGCAAACGATCCTCGACCGGAGAGAATTTCCCGGTGGAGCCTTGCTGTGGATGGGGACGCGAAATCCGCTTATCGCACCACTTTGAAGCCATGGGAAACCATGGTTCGTGGGTATTTACAGGGGAATTATCATTCTAGGGTTTCTTGGGTGGTGCAGGATTTCGTCCATCCACAGTAGGTATCCAGGTGAACCCTTCAAAAACCAAGAGGCAAGTAGCTGTTACCTACCATACCGGTAATTGAGATCCACTGGGCTACAGGTGTCACAGGAAATCCCCAAATCAAAAAAGTTGATCAACTTACTGGAAAACCATCACTTGTGAGGGTGCCCCATTTTGAGACACTCCCATTTGCCGCGAACTTTTTTTGCAAAACCAAAGGATCAACTGAGATCAGATGATCTACTGGGCTAGCTGAGTATTGCAAGTGGACCAGCCACACACACACACACCCAACAATGTGCTAACACAATGAGGCAAGGTCCCTAACCGCTTCCTACCAACAATCACTTCCCCTCCCTAAAAGAAAGGTTTTCCCCGAACAACACTCTGGCTTTCAGTTCTTCGTGCCGGAGAGTATGGCACAAAGTACGCGGCGTCTTTCCCTGGACAAGCAAAAGCTTACAGAATGCAACTCCTAAGTGAGGAATTCGAGCAGTTCAAGTTGGGGTGTGGAGAGGTGTGGAACCTGTGTCCCCGACCACTTCCAAAGCACAGTTTTGGAACTCTTTAAAGGGAATATCCAAATGAGTTTGTTTCAAGACAAAGGCGTTTTAAATCGGTTTAGCACACGTTTGATGCTTGCTAAGGGCGCCCATATATGGTTCCAACATAAGTTCTTACTTGGAGGAACCAAATCCCTCAAACAAACCGACTGTATATATCAAATATTGCTACTACATAGTAGGGTCCTTTGTTTGAGTTTGCTGCGCTGGATAGATTGGGGGCTTTAAGTTGGCATCTGTGGGCCGGTTTGTTGAGTAAAGCTCAGACTATGACAGTCCCGGTTCAGATTCCTGTTCCCTGCATGTTGGGTAGACAAGGGAACCCTTTGGCTTGCCAAATCACTAAACAGGAAACACGCAGCTGGGTGCTGATTTTATTCAGGGACCCTCTGATGGACATCGTTTAGGTGAGGTTTGACGTCCACGAGCCATTTCGAAGTTGGCATAGCCAACTGGCCCAACAGTCTGGCCGATGGATTCCCCTTTGAAACATCACCCCAACAGGATGATGGTTCAAACCACCCAAAAGCGACAAATATCGGGAACTCTGTCCAGGTCCTCCAATAGAAAGGTTACAACAAGGGCACTAACTTTTTCAGTAGTCTATTTTAGTAGGGGAACCCTCCCAACCGAAAAAGGGGCGAGAAAGGGCACTGGGGGACCTAGCTGTGCACTCCCCTCAGATTCGGCCAGGACTCTGCGCCCTTGTCCCAAAAGGACCAGGCGATCCTGGGAGCATCTGGCCTGGAGAGAGCTTCAGCTGGTGAGTTGCGACCAGTGACCGGTGGGGAAGTCGGAACTTTGGAGCTGACCATTTTCTAGGTCCTCCAGTAGAGAGGTTAGAAGAAGGGTACCAACTTTTTTCTGTAGTCTATTTGAGTAGGTAAAAGAGCACTACTGGGGGACCTTGTTTTTGAAGGGGAACCCACCAAAAGGGCAGGGGAAAATTGGACTCGGTTTTTGGGCTGGCTCAATTTCAGTGGTATTGTGACTTGCGGGGCGTCGTTTCCAGCACGATTCCCAAGTGAATCTACAGGTAGAAAGCACCAGCTTGCAGGATAAAGGTGTGTTTGGACTAGTCTTTGGGTGGCAGGGCCCCTTCAAAGATACATTTACGCCCACCTGTGCCAGCTGATTTAGAGGATCCCCTTGCAAAAGCATCTGGTTTCAGAATGCTTTAAGGAACCCTGTGGCAGGATTGGGTCACCTCAAATTCAGAGTTTAGGTAAGCGGCGGCCTGTTTAAGCAGACCTCCAGCCGTGCCAATTCTCACACCAGCTATTTCTTTTCCAGGCGGCAAAGGAACCAAACTTTACAGCCTAAATGGCCTTTTTGCTGACCAGCTACTGTGAGTAGGTGGTTTGTCCCCTTAGGCGCTGGATTTCGTCCACGCTGGTCGGAAGGGGCCCTTCCGGCTGCAAGGTGCGCGAAATCGATTTCCTGCTTGCCCTTCATAAGACCCCAAGAAAGCTCTCAACAAAAAGACAACGTGGGCCCATACCTGGCATGTGGTTGGGTTTGGTGGATGTCAAGTTCCAAACCAATACAAACCACCAATGAAGGGGTAGCTCAATGATATTTAGAGGGATCATAAATCGGCTCACCAAACTGAATGCAACGGCTTTTGCCCCTGTTTGGTGAGTGCAGTGCCCAATAAAAAATAAGCCAACCCTTCTTAGTTCTGCCTTTCGGTTCACGGTTCGCCAAAAACAATAAATCTATCGCACAGATCCCTTTTCAGCTCGTTTTCCACATTGCTTTCCAAGAGCATGTCCATTGCATATCCCTTCACTACCCGCAAGGCATGGCATATCTCCTCTTCATAGTGGCTAGTGCGTTCACGCCCCGACATGTCCTCACTTTCAAACCGTTCGTTTTGCGCCGAATCCACACTGATCTGTTGGGAACGTCTCATCGTACGAGTCTATGGCACTGTCGAAATCCCAATCTTCTCGCCCGGGGAAACCACGAAGCACATGCTTCGGGGGGAAAAAACAAAGAAAAGAGCTACGCGGAGCTGGCGGAGCCGGTCTGGGAAGCAATGATCCTAGAAGAAACATGAACTCTGTTGCTTTCTGCTCCCCTGCTAAAAGTTTAACTTTTAGTGGTTTAATGAAAGCTTAGTTGGCAAAAAGCTAAAGTCCTAACATCCCTTGGCAAAATGCACCAAAGTGAAAGTGGGAGCCCATGATCAGCAAACCCCGAGTTGAGGAGGGGCTGTTGGAGGACCGGGAGCACCGACTCCTTTTCCCAGTCACCCCCACCCCCACATCTCACGGATCCCCGAAAGCAACCCAGGGTCCGCAGTGTCTTCTGCATTCGAGGGAGTATTCAGGGAGTCCTCAAGGTACAGGCAAGCACGCTTTGTGGCTTCGTCCCACATGCTTTGAAGAAAAGATAGCCGTTCCAACCTGTGAGAAGAAGGGAGGTTTCAGGGGGAGGAAGTCCCTCGATTCCATTTTGCCTTCCCCAGAAGAAGCAACATCCAGCCCTACAAAGTAGAGCGGGGGCAATTTTCTCCCCCCAACCCCCATTTTAGGGGGTTTTAAGAGGGTCATTCCATACAGAGAACCAGCAAGTTGAAGGTTTCGTTTCGCCCAAAGAAGGCTCACCCCCAAGGTGCGTTACGAGGCTGGGAATAACCCAAGCGCCACCCGGCCTCCCGCTGCCGCGTAATGCGAAGGATGCGAAGGCGCGGGCGCTGCACAGGAGCAGCGGCGCAGCTCTCATGGGATCATGTGAGCCATTTTCTCTGCCCAGGACCTTCCAATGGTGTCTGGGCCTCCAAAACGGCTTTCAAGGTCTAGGATGTCTAGGTTCTCTGCTCGAAATGACCTGGCACCTTCTCCATCCAAAAGGTGGCAAGCTTGGCTTTCAACCCCATGCCCAAACCCCCGAGCTCACAATGTCCGTGAGTGCAGAAGTATACATGCGCATGATTTGCTTGAGGGTACCCTTTCTTTGGGTGTTGTTTTTATGGGAACACCAACGGCAACCCCACCAGTGGTGTCTGCCCCATGTGAGCGGACTACCCTGCATCTAGGTCCTCCAGAGGTTAGAATAAGGGCACCCGATTTTTTGTCTGTCGTCTATTTTAGTAGGGGGACCCTTCCAACCGAACAAGAAACGGGTGAAGAAGGACACCTAGCTGGGGGACCTAGGCATTCATTCTGAACACTGCGGCCATAGGAACCAAACGGCGATGCAGAGAATTCCATCTCGTGGCCACCTCGAAGCTCATCAAAACCCCGGGTTTCAAGTCTGCATAACTCTCATAACATGCAAATGAAGCTGGGACACACAAGAATTTGAGAGAAAAGGGGAATCCTTTTGAGAAATGACAGTGATCTGGTAGCATCCACAGGACCCGGGACCCCCCCGGGCTTGAGTTCACACAGCTGAGCTAATCAGCAAATCTATGGCGACAGCTTTGGCTCTCGGCATGGACCTCATGGAAGATAGCCAAAGGATCCGCGAACCCATCTCCTGAGTCTTCGCGAGCAACAACAAAACAGTGTCAACGCACAGTTCAACAAATCCGCTTGTCCCGTTCCAAAAGAGGCATGCTTAGATTCAGTGAACACCTCAAACTGAAACCAGTGTCTATGTTGGACCGACATGCTGTGGATGGATACGAAATCCATTTCGCACCACCTAAGAAACCCTGGAATGATTCGATTCCCCATTACCAACAAACGTTGTGGTTTCAAGAGGTGCGTTGCATGGATTTCGATTTCAACCATCCACAGTATGTAGCCTTGAACATGGACCGAACGGACCAACCGGCTCCTGGGTTTGAGCCATTTCTGGGTGCCAGATGGTATCCAATTCTGGGATGTCCTTTGGGGACGTCACAGGCCACGGGCTACTCAAAAGGCGCACATGGCTTTCAAGCATGGTGGCCTTCCTTGGAGGACCAGTAAAACAATGTGAAAACTGATATGAAAACTGGGCGAATAAGGGAGTTCCAGACTTATCCGCAGGGGCTTAAATGCCATGAATAAATCTTAGTGCATTACTACAATTCAGCAACCTAAGTTGCAATGAATCATGGCAGAGCTGGTGTTGCATTTGTTGACCATTCAAGCCGGCGAGTGGAAAAGGACCCCATGCCAAGCCCCAACGGTCAAACTATGGAATCCCGTCAGGTTGCCATACGTGTGTGCAAGACATGCCAATCAGACAACACAAAGCACGCACCCTATAGCGAACAAATGAAGGGGCACTGATTGTTCTTGAGGCCCTCATGTTGAAAGGCCCCCCCACATTGAGACAAGACTCATAATTACTCCTACATGTTAAATAGTTCAGATGGAACCAAATTCCCCAGTGATACCCTGAGGACAACAGCAGGCGGGCTTAGCCACATCGACCATCCCGAGAGCTCCCTCATCTGCAGGTCCCACTTGTTTTTTCCAAAGCGCGCTCGGGTCATATATCACTGCGGCAAGGTCGCAATTCGTAAAACCGGCGCGGAAGGCTCAAGCCGTCTGGCTGGGCAATGTGGATTTGCCTCACCGCACTGTCTAAACAGGTTTAAAGGAGCCATTGGCTTGCTCTTCTCCAATCTGCGCATGGTTTGTGAGGATATGGACACCCGCAAAATAGGATTCGGCTTGCATTTGGTTTCTCCCTCAAAGCCAGGGAGGGTACTGTATACTGACCACTGCTCCATTATGCAAGAATTAAAAGGCCGTGTCACACCACCCTTGAAAAAGTCCGAGTCCGACAAAGGTGAGACGCGTGCAAAACGGTTCCAAAAAACTCCCTGCCAGCTTCCGTTGGCTTACGGGTGAGGCCGAGCCCTAGGTCGCCATGAGTCCTAGGTAGCCTTGCTGACAAAAGAACGCAAAGAGTTGGTTTGCCGGTGAACCGAGAAATCGACATTGCCCGAAAAAGCGAGATGCAACAACTGTGAAGCCAATCTTGCATCCCTGGGCTGTCAAGCTAGCAAGGGTCAGCATTGCACGCAAAATAGGACATCTTTGCCGGGTTGAACCAAGAGAGCTCCATGATGGAACACGTCCTTCGTACAACGTGCGCATCGTTCATGTGTAGCTCCGGGAAAATACTAGAGTTTGGTAAAGTAGGGAAGGCCCTTCAGGCAATCGCCAAGGGCAACACTTCCTAAGGTGCTCCAAGAATCATGCGGGCCAACCTTCACACCTCGGCCATGGAAATTTGCTACCAACCTGCCGCAAGCTTGAAGTTTGCCTTGGTAAGTCTGCTGCATTCACACTTTTGGGTAGCCACATGATGACGCCTTCCACGACAATGGGTTCTGGTTTCCATGTTCCCCGAATCCCCCGATTTTCCATTCGAAAGGAAAAGTGTGCCCTCGAAGCGCGCCTTTGCTTAGCATGGCTTTAGGAAGGCCACGCAGATCAGCTTAACTGGGGGTTAGCATCCGCACCTCCGTGAATCCAACCCAGGGAAACCGAAAAAAATAGGCCGGCGAGAAACCACATAGATCTATGCGTCTATTTTAGTGGTGTCGAGCGAGCTCACCAATCTGGGGGCAAAACCAGCGGGATGAAAAAGCACAGGTTGTAGGCCGTTTACTTTGGGGTTCAACGCTTGTTTCAGGCTGGGAATTGTAACAAACATGCACGTCGATCACTCGCGACCCAGGGCTTGACTACAGCAATCTCAACGACAACTCTTGCTGTAATATCAGCGTCGTCCGCGCTATTGTGTCAGTCGCACGCCAGAGAAACCTTCTTCCTTATCCCAAAAGTGCTTCCCTGAAGTGCAGATTCGCCTCTGAAGTGGCACCCCTATGCATGAATCAGGGGTTCTTCATCCTGAATTCTTATTAGAAACTGGAAGGATTCTCGGCGAGACCGGAGCGGCTCATCAGGCAACCGCTCGGTGAATGAACGCAGATCTAGTGCGCATCCCTTTGGGATGAAAGCCGCGCCCTTCATGGATAACCCACTCCAATTCGAGCGCCGGAGACCCGCCAGGGCGCTCATGCCATCCACGGCCCCCAAGGTTGATTGCTGACAAGCCGCATGCCGCAAACCTGAAAATCAGCAGAACCTGAGAAAGCCATTATGACCATTGAAGAGAGTCTCATATTTTCGGCCCCCCCCCTTTGTGCTTTCTGGATTGAATATTTTGGGCTCGGAACCGCTCGCAGCAGGGGAACGCTCCATGAAGGGCAAGGACGATGGACGAGGAACGCTTAGCCCTTATGCAGTTGAAGGTCTGACATCTCCCCCGACACCTCGCCAGGGAGTCTGGCCGGGCGTTCCTGGCGCAAAAAAGAACGAGGTGCTTGGGCACATGGGACGGACAGTGACTAGCCGGGGATCCAAATGGGTGTGTCGCTTTTCCTTTTTTAAGGTCCCCTTTTTGATGCAGATCGCCCTGTCCTTCTGGGGAAAACAATCGTCATGGGGGCCACTTGGACTTTGTCCATTCTTTTCAACCATCGTTCTTTTCAAACACCGGATCTGTTTTCCCCTTGCTTTTGATGCTTTCCTCGGATCCCTGGAGAGAATGGGGAAGGTACCCCTAGAATCGTAAACCAGTGTTCCTCTTGTTCGGGACCCTCCTTGCATCCCCCCACTCTCTCTTTCTCCCTCTCTCTTTTTCTCTGTCTCTGTCTCTCTCTCTCTCTCTCTATCTCGAACTCCCTTTTCCGCTCTCTTTTCTCTCTCTCTCTCTCTTTCTATGTTGACTCAGTTGTTGCTTTATGTATTTAGCATTCGTGTCTGTATGTCCTCATTCCCTTCCTTACTTTGTTTTTTTGTGTCTGCCTGTCTGTCACGAGTTATTTGCTTATGGTGTTGTGTCTCTTTGTTGTCGTGTCATTACTTCTGTACTTATCTATGGAATTGTGCATTAATGTCCGTCTTTATTTGAATTTTGTTGTCATTTGATTGCGTGTGTTTTTCTTGTTTACTTGTGTGTTGTGTTTATTGCATATATTATGCTGTGTGTGGTTTTATTTGATGTATGTTCATCATGTTGGGTATTTGAATTAGTTCATTATATGTGTTTATTGTGTTCCTTGAGTTGTTCTTTCTTATTTGTTGTTTCTTCTCCCCTTCTCTGCCTCTCTCTCTCTCTCGCCCTCTGTCCCCCTGTCCCCCTGTCTCGCTGTCTCTGTGTCTCTCGCTCTCTTTCTCTCTTTCTGTCATTCTCTCTTTCTCTGATTCTTTCCCTCCCTCCCTCCCTCCCTCCCTTTGAATAGGTGGCTCCCTAAATCGTGCAAGTACGTCAGCCACACGCGGGGGTGAATTACAGCGATGTCATGGACGCCATCTCTCATGCCAAGATATCCCTCCCGTCACCCCAAATTGTCACGCAACTGCGTTTGATCCTTAGGCCAGTTTGCGATCCAGTTCTCACCAGGGCTTTCATTCGGATTTGGGAATCGTGGTACATCGCCCAAAATTGGCAACAGCTTTGAGCCTTCTCAACTTGCAGAATTCTTGACCACCTTTGCAGGCGGCACATTGGCCCGGTTTTGCGGTGTTTCAATTGGCAGTGTCGCCTGGTTCGTGGCCTTTCCCCGTGTTTCGCTCCGTGGGGGCGCCTGCGCTACCCCGTCCTGATTCAGAGACTCCAGCTGCTCCCCGGATGGCCCGCTGTTGCTGGAAGGATCCTGAGATGGCTGGGCTGCTCACGGAGAAGCCCGACTCTTGCTGGAATTTTAGGGTTTAGGGTCTTGCTGGAACCTGGGATTCAAGACCAAGGGCCTTCAAGCGGACGGCTTGGAGCGCTTAGCATTCGCCACACTTTGCCCTCGCTGCGCCTACTTTCCTGC